TCGCACCCTTCACCACGGGACGTGATCGTCGTTAGACGTGGCAACCCTGCGAGTGACAGATAGATAACTCCACCAGTGAATAAACATTCTTACACATATTAGGATCTTAGGATCTGTGTTTTAGCATGGAGAAGACAATGTTTTTATTGCTTTGAAGACATTCATTAACCCGTAAATTAATAAATGATTACTATTAAGATGTAAAGGAAGATGAGGAATTGGATGGAATGTATTTTATATTCTATTTTCTTGCAAAATACAGATAAATCCACACTATTCAACAGGTATGTAATGATAACAGTATATTGAACTTAAATTCGAGAATGCCATGCATTAACAAACGTCCAAATCTGCCGCAAAATTTAACAGCTAGAAAATCGACGTATTATTTGCCGCATTCCCATTGGCTTTTGGGGATAACTTATTGTTAAATGTAAATTTATAACACAAATCAAAATACTTGAAAGTTGACCTGTTTTCTCTGTACAAAAGCATATGTTGGAATCAAGAAGTGGTCTTGTTTATAATACAGTCGAATTTTCACGATTTTATTCAATATTTTAATAGAAATCACTGATATTCTGAGACCTTTGACAGCTGCTGTCAAATTGCATTTCGATAAGGTATTTTCCCATTGGTCCATAATATTAATGTTGGTGAAATCGGCCCTTAGTAACGAATAGCCTGCAGTGACATCTCCTGGTCGCAGGAATGTCTACATTTTCCTCTCACATCCATTAGAGTCCAGAACAATAACAATAGCTTAAAGAATAATCTCGAGAACTTAAAAAGTGATTTTGATGGTTCGTCCCGATTTCACTTGACCATTTTTTGGGTCGAATAATGCGTTTTTAATCACCCTCGGATATCGTGGATATTTTAATTATATTGAAGAGGTGAAGGATTAGAAAGGGGAGTGCTTCGGGAGAGCTGGACCTGGCTGAAAGTAAGCATTGATGGATATTATAATTTTTGAGAGTTATCAATTTTGAATTCTCTATAGTGGTAAGCACACCATGAAACCATGATGACAGTCAATTCCGTTATCCAAATATCGCTCACTTATCTGTATTGTTTCAATTTTACAAAACGATTGGTGTTAAGTAGGTTGACATTGTATTTTCCGCGACACGTCCAAGTACAAAACCGAGATGCACTATGTATTTTCCAATATATGTTCGTTTCCTTCATATGTCTCTGGTCTCCAGATCTATCCTCATCAATGATTTTTATGTATAGAGCAAGACGAGGGGACGACTTCGAAGGAGCATTTGGTTGCGAGTCAATATAAGGAAATTAAAACTTGGATGCTTATTATCACTGCAGAAATACAAAAGGAAAAATCTGGGATGGGATACAACTACGTTAAAAATAATGGTTCACAGATTGAGAGAAAAACAAACATAACTAAATACAATTAAAAATACATTTTTGAGAGCAAGCTACTATTTAGATGTTGATAAAATGATCTAAAACTTTTAAAATATATTTTTTCAGATTATAAATGTTTAAAAGATAACAAAGCTCCTTCATTTAAAGTTTTCAAAATTGAAAACTTAAGATGAAGGAGCTGTATTTAAGTATTTACAATCAAAAAATATTATTTTTAAGTTTTTTTCGATTTTATGAACAGTGAATGGATTTTTATTTTATTTATTTTTTAGATTTTATTATTTATTATGTGAAATAACTAATTTGGTAATTTCTATATAACTTTCATATATTTTATAAATGAGATTCCATAAAACTTCTTACTTTATTTCGTTACAAAATTTTGATACAAACATATAATGACAAATCAATATTTTGCGGCGACTGCCATTTCCAGTTTTAAATGACGTTATTTGCTTATCGTCTTTCTCTATAACCCTTTTATTTGATACCAATATAATAGCGGTGATCACGTAATTCGTAAGTAGCCATTTAGCTGCAGCTGCCATATTGGATGTAGAATGACGTTACTTTGCTTATCATGCTCCCCCATCAAGCAATTTTATTAATTTGATACCCATAGTATAGGGGTAACTATGAAAATTATAAATCGTAATTTTACGATGACTGCCATATTGGATTTAGAATGTTTCTCTCTATAGCCCTTTAATTTGATACCTACTTATATTATAGGGGTCTCGGCGATATTTATAAATACCATCTTGGGGTAGCCGCCATATTGAATATAGAATGTCATCACTATGCTTATTGTGTTTCTCCCATCAAGCTCTCTCATTTGAAATCCATGTCGTTAGGGTGACTATGAAGTATGTAAATCATCATTTTGCGGCGGCTGCCACATTGTATTTAGAATGACGTTGTCTGTTGTGTTTCATATAATCATTTTGTAGCATCTGCTATATTGGATTTAAAATGGCGACAGTTAATTCATTGAGTATTGTCACGCGAACCAAACGGGTATACTAAATTCCACACAAACATACTCGTACTAACAAACAGGTAAAGTGAACAAAAACCTGTAGAATAAAAACTTGTGATAGTAATAATAAAATCATAGTGTACCACAGTTGCGTACTTCTGGGGTGTATCGCCTGCTCTGAAGCATAGTTTTCGGAAATTTCAATGAGATTCTGCTTGATCTAATACTGACAAAAAGTATGGTTATATGTTTTTTATGACGTCATAAGAAAGAACAGAAGCGGATGATTTTTTCAATAATTTTATTTCACACTGTTGTCAGATTTTTTGATAAACATGTACAAAGAGTCACGCTGCAAAATCTTACTTTGAGTACACTAAAATTATTTTCTATAGAGTGTATGCCATATTTCGATAACTTGGATACTACTTCTTGTGTAGGAAGACAATACATCAATATACTCGTAGATGAAAGAAGCATCAGCGATGATTTATCACATAATTTTGGTTTTTGCTGAGATTTAACAGAAATATGCCTCAAAAACCGTTCGACTTTCTGCTAAGATATACAGGATGTCCCAGAAGTCGACCTCAAGACGGAAAAGGGGGATAGGTCAAGTCATAATCGTTATCAGATGAATATAAAAAAATGTAATTCGTGTAATTTTCAAATTATATAGACATTATACCCTGTGATGATCTTTTAGTTCCGATTAATACAAAATCACACTACACAATCTTGAATTAATAAAAGTCGCGTTACTGTCTAAAAAAGAATTTAAATTTGTGGCAATGGAAACTAAAAGATCATCACAGGATGTAGAATTTTCCAATTTTTCTTTTTTTTTTTAAGCCTTTAATTGGAAAGGTATACGATTTTTTTATATTTTTTGATAACTTTTATGACCTATCCCCCGTTTCCAGCTTGACGTCAACATTTGGGACATCTTTTATGTAGTTCAATATATTCCAAATGGGGCATGCTATTACCACTTATAAGTTTGGTATCGACCTTCCAAAGATCCATGTCTACTTTGAAGATCTTCTAGCTTGATACACAAATGCTACTCAAAAAACGAGCTTCGCCAAAATCAAATTCTGTAAACATCGGATTATCGCGTGATTAGGCAATAATTAGAAGAATTCTTGTGGTATTTATATCAGATCCTTGTGACAATATTTCCCTCGTGTATATGTGTTAAGTGAAAGACAGACAAAACAAAACGAATAGGTAGGCGAGAATAATTATCATTTTGCATCTACTGTGGAAATCTTGGAAATGCGTCAAAGCCGATTTAGAATAATATTAAATTTACTCCTGTTGACTTAATTTTCATGTTGCCTTTTCTTTCCTTTGTTTATCCGCGACGCTACGTCTGCAGCAATCAGTATTCATATCTGCTTTCATTCATTTTAAACATGTTTATATCAAATATTCCGATGTGAGGCAGTCTTTGACAAATAAAGCAGTGCTGGGAAAAATGAAATTGGCAGACGACTTGATTCTATGTCTCCTGCTTTTTCTCATTCTGTGTGGGTAGATGGAAATGCCATCGTATCTCAGGCAAAAGGTTGCCCTTGAGTTTGCAATATCATTTTATGTTTTATGATGTCTGCAGCAGGAGAATAGGTATATGTGAGCAGAATTTCTATCGATATGTTGATTTCTTTTGTAACTACATAAAATTTCAGATTCTACTGCTACAGTTTTACCACTGTCCAGGATATGCGTTTCATACCATAATGCAGAATGCTTCAAAGTCTTGTCAAGGAGATTGAGGGGCAGCTTTCACATGTAAAAATATGTAAAAAAACTTGATATACGTAAACAAAGGTTCGTCAGTGTTATTACGTGAAAAACCTATATCATGTCTAAGGATGTATTACTTTAGTACATTCTTTTCTTTTTTGCTTTTGCTTTTCTTTTCTTACATGATTTTTTTCAAGTTCGAGTGTTTTAAATGATAAGTTATGTCTCAGACGGAGAACAGAGAATAAAGCTTTAAGCAGTCTTCCTCTCTCTAGGGTTTTTTATTCTGTAAATTTTTAAAACGAAGCAAACAGCCCCTACTTTATGACATTCCTCACATCACTGCCCACTACTGACCACTGATTTTTGACCTAAGCGTTTGTGAGCTGAGGACATCTAGGTTGCGCCTAGAGCCGTAACTGGAAGAATACCACTATCTATATGGGTCATTCTAAAAATTTGAGACAATATAGGAGGTGAAAGTGTAATCGACCAAAGGTTTCGATATTATCACTTTTTTCAATTAAGTTGCATGGGATATTGCTTTCTAATAATGTTTAGGTGTGTGGCCAAAAATCTAAGTCAAAAATTTAGATTTTATTGATAAAAAATCAAAATTTGTGTCCACGGAGTGGAATGGCTTTCCACGGAGTAGAAATTTCATGTAGTTTTAACATTTATTTATTGTTTAGAAAAATATAAATAACCGCGACATTAATTTTATGTTGACATGTTCTCTTAAAAAGAAAATAAATGATATATTCTTATGCTTTAAAAAAAAGAAACTACAAACACAAATTTTAAGAATAGATAGGTAATAACTAAGTTTAAAAATAACGAATGAATAAAACGAAACATAAAAAGACGTACAAAATATAGTTCATTTTAATAATGTTGCTAATGCATAGTCATCGTCGCTATCGTCGCATATTGCACAAGTGAAAAAAGCGTTCTTGCTGCCCTTGTTGCACATGCCACAGATCCATTTTTGGCAATTTAAGCATTGAATCCATTCAAGATTATTTTTCGATTTACTGTATAGAGTTAAGCATATACCACATTTTGCGTTATCTTCTTTACGTTGTTTTTTACCACCTTTTAGAGATTTAGTTTTAAGTTTCATTTGTTCCTCTTCATTTTCGGAATCTGTATAAATGTCGGAGTAGGCAACTTTTTTTGGTCTGTTCTGTTTTATTTCGTAATGTCCCAGACTATAGTGAATGCATCTAACTGATTCAGGACAAACAGTGCAACTCAAGCGACGTAATTCTAAATAATCAGGATTGGTTGTTGTCCAACAGGCTTGGTGCACTTTCATCGTTCCAACAAAAGTTTTAATACCGCTGATGGGTATCTTGTTATCAAATTCTGAAATATTGCTTGAAGAAATGACGACGATTTCCATTCCTGGGCATGCCTTTGTTAGATGAAAAACCATTAACTCCAAATTTTGAAGATCATATTGACAAGCGACCAGACGATCGGCGGTTCGTTTAAGACAGCCGCCTACACCATCTACAGCACCTTTACCGTGTCCACTTTCAAAGTAGTTCCACGAAATTGCCTCTACATCTAACAATTTGGGAATTTCAGTAGCCATTAGGTAGAACATGGATCTATTGCGATACTGGGTGCTTGGTCCGTCACTGCAGATGTGAACTTTCTTAAGAAATGGCATTTTTACCTTAATGTGCTTAATTAAAGGTTTTAAATGTGCCAAAATTGCAATCGGGTCGTGCCGTAGGTTTTCTGACAATGTGCAGTAAGGATATGCTTTAATGGTACCTTGTGGATCCTTCTCATACCACATTGCAGTGTGAATGGAAATTTGGGGCTTTGATCCACCAAAATGAGCACTTTGAATTTCTCGATTATATTTGCAATTATAATTTTCCGAAAAATCGATGTGGATCAAAGCCTCCGTACCACTTGCAAGATTTTCTTTAATTTCCCGTATCTTACGGTGTTGATGTCTCATGTTAGATATATGCAACATATATTTTGGCATGTTTCTATTTAATTCTGCAACTAACTCTGCCTTTACACAACGAATGATATCTTTTACATTCCTTTTTGTTGTTTTTTCTTCACCTTTAATGATGTATTTTTCTGTCTTTAAAACCCACTTCTTGTATGAGCAGTTTTCTGTTTCCTCATAGGGCAAAATTGGCAGGGTTCTATTCTTACAATCTACACATTTTCTTTCAAGACAGTCGTTTTCCAGCTCACAACATATTTCTCTACAAAGTTCATCGGGACTGTTTGCATTAATCATATGCAACACTTTCATTTTTGTGACCAATAATAGCATGTTTTCATGAATAACGCACAAACATGTTTCCCTTTTGCTTGCTGTAGGAATTAACACCCAAAAAGGTCTGTATTTGCAGAAAGGCTGCATAACTTATTTTGAGAGGAATATTGCCCTCTAGTAAAAATTTATTTTTATAAATATTTTTGAGGGTATCTGTGAGATACCTTTTTTGTTTCTTTACTTTTTTAAAGGTAATTACATCGTTTTTACCCGGACACATTCTACTTACGTCGTCTCTTTCAAAAAAAATCTGTAAGGTGTCTTTTACCTTAAATTGTACTCTAGATATTTGTTTATTTTTAGGTCTATTCAATTTGTATGTGCCACAAATCTTATTCATTTCACTTGTCAAACGATACTGTTTGATAATCTTTCCAGACGTGCATTTTATAAACTCCCTTTTAGCCTTGTAGCTTGTGTTTATAGAAATAAAATTGGCAGATAGTTGTTTTCTTAAAACTTCTCCAACAAAGATTTTTTTTCTGACTTCTGAAGAAACCTTTTAACAATTTTTCGGTGTTTGATAAAGGTGAATTTTTCTTGATTTTTTTATTTTTACATCTCTGTAGTCTTGTTTTATACCGCTGCGTTAATTTTTTGTACTTCTCTACTTTTCTCTCCAATTCCTTTAATTTTCTTACAGTTGCTGAGCGCTTCCTTAAAACCCTTTTTCTTCCAGCGCTTGATCTTCCTGAAACATTTGCTACATCCTGATTGTTTTCAATTTCGTTTAGATCTCTGGTAGGTGTTGCCGGAGGAGTGTTTTCTTTTAGCATCTGCGTAGCTCTGGTTACAAGTTTTTTGTTTGTATTATAACTCCGTTTGTATTCTTTCCACTTTTTTCTTAATCTTTTTTTCTCCCTTCTGGATACTTCCCCAATAAGCTTAATTTTGCCTTGTTTTTTTCGCTCATAATATCTTTCTCTTTCCTGTTGCTTTGCTTTTTCATATTGCTCTGGATTGCTTCTTACTTTCTCTCTACGTCTGCGTTCACAATCTCTTTTTTGCTGCTTTCGCTTCTCTAAGTCTACCTTTGGCTTCGCCATATTTTTGCTAAAACAAAAAACCTATTAAACCATATGATTAGCATAGTCTTATAAATAATTTAAATTAAAGCGTATTCTTCTAAGGTTGAAAAACAACTACTTTTTCTACTCCATGGACACCAATCTGCTCCATGGCCATACAAAAGTCCATGGAGCGGAAGTCCAGGGTGTGGATTTTTTTTGGAAAACAATAGCTTTACACTCGCAAAACAAAAAACACAAACTAATTTGTACATAAAATTAAAATACCAATAAATGGTCACCTAACCGCAATATTTTTATTTAAATTTTACTTGTTCAAATCATTTTAAAAGCCCCCATGGAGTGGAAAACAATAAAAATACGCACCTGCCAGCGCTCACTTCGACTGTCACTACCACTAATCTGCACAAAATTGGGCGATGCTTGCATGTCGAGCGACAAAACTAGACTGAAGCACGAGTACCGACGGGCCTTCGCGCGCTTAAAGATGCAATACCAACCATAAGGAACAAAATTCCCCTAGGTCCACGGAGTGGAACTCAAATGTGGTTACACACCTTTTTACATAATTTTTAATGATTATTTTTAGTAATTATTTTATTTTGGCTATAGCATTATTATTATTGACATTTAATCTTTTGATAAAAACGATTGTTGTGACCCGAAACTATGTAGAGTTTCTGAAATAAAGCAATATCTTAGGCAAAACGTGTTGGTTACAGTCCATGGAGTGGAATTTTGGTACTTTTGGACAGTGTTAAAAATATTTTTAAAGTCAAATTTAAAAGTTTAATAAGTGATCCCAACAAAAGGTATTTTATTTTATTGCCTAAGCATGTTAGATAACTAGAGCGTACTCTTGTTTTAGTAATTTTGGATGGTTACATCAAATTGTCCCAAATTTTGAGAATCACCCATATAAGGATAGGTTTAGGTGCTAAAATATTTGTAAAGCCTTCGTACGTGTATTATGTGTTGTTCGGCAGTTAATACATGTATATTCTTTAATTCATCGGTTGATTCCATCACTGATGTATGCGGTGAACTTATGGTTGACAGCTGATGTGATGACGTCAGCAACCGGTTCCATTAAATGGCGGTTAATAAAAAGACCCATTTTTAGCCTTCAGGTTGCTGTCATATGAGAAAACCTAACCTTTGTTTTATCGTGAATGGATACGTGTTAATTTGGTCTGAGTAAAGGTAACATGGCCACACAAGACAACTGCTGAAATGTATTCTACTAGACTCTAGACGACTATCCGTTGCGAAATTTTTGCTGAAATCGTTGCACAACAATGAATCAGTCGGTACCCCGGGATAGATATCCGCCTTGACAGATAACCTCGTCATGCTCGCCACCTGGATTGCGGCGTTGCCAATTCCTTGGACTAAAAATAGTATTATGTTCGAGGATTTGCTAGTATTTTTGAGATTTTTCAGAAATGAATGTAGGTAATTCCACATGATCGACGAGTTATAAGTTCGATTCAAGTTTAAATCCTTCAGCTGTCCATTTTTAGTTCCCTCAAAATGAATGCCTAATATATCTGCGTATAAGACGCATGCTAATAAAAATTAAAATCGTTCTTCCTATTAATGATCATGTAATATACAGGGTGTTTTAGTTTATAGCTGCATAACTTCAAGATTTGATAGAACTTTTAAAATTAATGCATAAAGTCTATATAAACATGGGTCGAAAAATGCGTGGCTTCCAAAATACAGGATGTTTAAATTTACTTTCTAAAATAGTTTTTTTTTTAAATACTTCGAACAATATTTGATGTATAACAGTGAAAATTGGTATACAAAGGTTTTTTGGTACGACAAAACGACCCATGGGCATAGTTTTACTGTAGCCGCTAGAGGGCGCTCTCTACTGTATCTGTAGTGTATTAAAATGACCGAAAAATTTTTCTTAGTACAATTTTTTGCTTTTTGAATAAAAAAACTAATTCTTCGTACTTTTCAACATAAAAAAGCTCTCCTGTGAGTTTTCGTTATAGTTAGCCGTTTTTGAGATATTTCGATTTTCGAGGTTCGATGCATTTTTAATTATTTATGCGAAAATAACATTTTTTTACATTTTCGATTTGGGGATTACAAGTAATTAAGATGATCGTTTAGATTGTGTTTTTAAACGCAGCAATAATTCCTAACTCCAAATAAACGCAAAAAAACAGAATATTAATTTGTTTAATTTTCCAATATTATTTTTAACAAATTAAATTAATTATTTATAACTAAAATGCTATTGAATAGTTAGGACACACATACAAAATCTAAAGTAGTTGCTCGAAATGTAAGCCCAATTGTTCAATACACAATTAACATCTACGAATGATCGAAAGATAGCATTATTCAAATAAGGCCTTATTTCATCACATGCATTCCTGATTCTGTCTATTAGCATGGTTGTGGTTACGGGAGTCTGGTACACTTTTTCTTTTAGAAATCCCCACACAAAGAAATCTAATGGATTTAGGTCAGGGGATCGTGGAGGCCAGGCGACTGGTCCTCCACGGTCAATCCATCTTTCTGGATAATTGTCGTCCAGCCAGTTTCTAACCATTCTCGAATAATGAGCTCGACAACCATCAAGCTGGAACCAGGCCAATCTTCTTAAATCTAACATAACATCATCCTACATATTTGCATGTTCAGCCTTTAAAAATTCCAAGAAGGTCGCAACATTTAACCTTGCAGGCCAAAGGTAGGGTCCAAATAGTTGATTACGGTAGATACCAATCCACACGTTCACACTAAATTCATGTTGAAAATTTCTTTCCCGAACTGGATGCGGATTTTCATGCGACCAAATATGTTGATTATGAAAATTTACCACTCCACGTCTAGTGAAGCTTGACTCATCGGTCCATAAAACGTTACTTAAAAACTCCCTATTATTATCAGTTCTATCAAGAATCCACTGACAAAATGTGATTCTTCGTACTCCATCCCCTGGCTGTAGTCCTTCCACAGGTTGCAAATGGTAAGGACGTCTATAGTCATTTCTAAGAACACGGTGAACATGGCTTGCTGAAATTCTCAAGGCACCAGAAACTCTCCTAACACTTGTGGTCGGATACCTATCAAACTCACGCAGAATCATACGGGTAAATCTGCGCTGACGAACATTTATGTTTTGATCCCTTTGGAGATTTCCGAAACCATTTTCAATTATTTGGCGATGCACTCTTACAAATACTGAGCGAGTTGGATGTCGTCTGTTTGGAAATCTTCGTGCGTATTCTCTGGCTGCTTCTGGTGCGTTTCCATTTACAAAGCCATACACAAAATGAATATTCGCTAACTCTTGATTGGAGAATAAAAATGGCATTTTTATAAAACTTACATAAAAACAGGTGAAAAAAAAATAAATTTCGTGCATTCACAATTGCAAAAAAACGTTTCAGGTTTCAACAGACAACAAAACTAACTGTCAACTTTTTTTTTTTTTTTTTATACTCCAACTACCACGAAGGCCTAAGGCCTAAGCACCCATTGGGTACCGTGGGGCTATGGGGGATACATGGGAAAGGGGGGACGCCACACGGACTCTGGCGAGGGAACACGTGTGCATGCAACATGCACACATTCTGGCTCCGCCTACGAGAAACTAATTGACGTTTAACCTTATTCTGCTTTCAATTTCAAAAATATTTGCAGGCACAGCCTACTTCTAAAAATTATGGAGATACTGACTTTTTAACGTTATTTTATCATAAATAATTAAAAATGCATCGAACCTTAAAAATCGAAATATCTCAAAAACGGTTAACTATAACGAAAATTCACAAGAGAGCTTTTTTATGTTGAAAAGTGCGAGGAATCAGTTTTTTATTCAAAAAGCAAAAAATTGCACTAAGAAAAATTTTTCGGTCATTTTAATACACTACAGGTACAGTAGAGAGCGCCCTCTAGCGGCTACAGTAAAACTATGCC